ATATATCATATTAGTATATAATAAAGGATTTTTATAAAATGGATTATCCAAAATATGTTTAGTTTTACTAATACAAGTAGTCAAAGTTCCCCCCCCCAAAATACATGCCAATATTTCACGTTTGCAAAAATTTATAAAATCAATAAATGAACTTAGGAAAAAGTGTTTCATAAATGTTGTAGAGACGTCAACTCTACATATAAGGTGTAAATTTCATGTAAATTGAAAAAAACAAAAATGAAAGAGGAGATGCAATTTTATGTTACTTGAAAATAAACAAGATCAAACACTCTGCCACCTGTGGTTGAAGTTGATTTCAACCAATTTCCTCCAAAATTTGCATCTTTACAGATAGGCATATGTTCTGTAAGGTGTATAAGTTTCAAGCAAATCGGCTGATAAAAAATATGAAAAAAATTTGAGAAAAAAATCTAATTTTTTGCTTTTTTTCATTTTTTTTTTTTTTGCATAAAAAGTAAATATTAAAATGCTTTATTATATGCTATTGTGATAGCTTAGAGTCATAAACATGATTTCAGTTGACACTTTTGTTTGATGTTAATTTTTTACCATTTTGGAAAATTTTTGACACATAATTCAACATTTTTTTCTCCCTTCCTATTTATGCTACGATGCTGAGACTTGGGCCAGTTGAGCCAAATTTTATATACAACCAGTCAAAAAGGTTTGACTGAAATCAAACCAGTTTTCATTTAACGCATTTTTCCGTAATACACCCCCTTAAAAGTGATTTATTAATTTTATTATTTAGAGGCCGTAGGTCACTGAACTGTAGCGACGAATTGAATGAAACACGCATGGTGCTGTGTGTACACGGATTAAGCCTGTCCACTCGCGCTGTAGTTCTTGTGCTAATAACACAAATAATTTCTCAAATAGCAGATGTCTATCATATTACAGTATATTTTTGGTTTTATTTAGTTTATAAATGTAATTGGGATAATAGAGCTATTAAAACACTAGCTTCAAAAATGATTTATTAATCTGAAACTTTCAAAGTCGTGGGTCACTGAACTATGATGACACAAACGAAAGTGACTGAGACCTCACTGTAAAGTGAGGTTTACAGTACAGTATTCCCTTATCTGTCCACCCTCACTCATCTTGTTTCATCACAGAAAATGTCTATAAGGAGATTTCATCTTCGCTCAGGTAGCTAGTTATTCAACTTCACCCTTTAACCCTCAAACCGCTAGGGGCCCAAATGGAATTCACACCCACAGGCGCAACAAAAAAAAAAAATCCAAAAAATTATTTTGTCTTATAGAAGTGTTCATTTTTGTTCCCTGATCAGGGAAAAAATAACAAAAAAATCGTAGGTGGCATATTTTAGCCGCAATAGGGTAGGGAAGTGTGGCAAAAAAGGGGCGTTGGCAGAGCCTTCGCCAGACGAGGTCTACTCTGCCCGAGCTGTCAGACGGCAGTTGTCACAAATATATTATTACCTAATTATTTCAATGTCTCTGATTGATTTTTCTTAGTTTTTTTGCAGTAATATTATTCCATACAGTGAATTGTGGTATATTTATATTATAAAATGTGTGAACCATCGCTGTACTCAAAATTATGGTGCGCATATTAGTGATTCAATTATTATGTTCATAAAACAATAAACAAATAGTTTTGCTGTTGTTACACTATATACACAGGTTATATATAAGTATTTGCATGTTTTGTACACCATAACGAACTACTAAGTTGGTCTTGTGAGTCAAAAAGCTACGAGGAGTGACCGCCAAACACCAGCGAGCCACTCACTGCCACTCCCTCCCTCAGCACCACCTCACTCACCCTCGTTCACCTCCCACAATACTCTTTCTGTATTTATTCACTATACACAGACGTTATATATACGTATTTACATGTTTTGTTCACCATAACTGTATATCTAAGCTTGTATGGTGAGTAAAGGCAGAAAGACGTAGCTACTCACACAGTCAGCTGATCGGTGGCCGCCCTCAAGGCCAGACGCACTAATATTTGTCCTCCAACAATATTGTTTGCGGTGTTATTATGCTATATACACACATTATATATAAGTATCTACCTGTTTTATTCACCATACCTGAACCAATAAGCTGGCATGGTGCCCAAAGATCATAGTGGCCATCAGTAAACAACATGCCAAGTCGTGCAGACGACGCTCCTCCCTCACCAAAATGGCGGCTCCCAACCTACTCCTCTCGCTGTTATCTCACACCATACACACGTTATATATAAGTATCTACATTTGTGTTCACCATAGCGAACCACTAAGCTGGTATGGTGAGTGCAGTCAATAAATGGTGGCCACACACAGTCAGAAGACGACGCCACAACCCTCCCTCCCACAGCCTTACTCCTCCCTCCATGGAGCACAGCGCTAAATATCACCACACTCCTGCTATTATCAGAATCCTGGTCAGTTTTATCACAGTCAGGGGGCTTCAGTAATACTATCACTGCTAAATAATAGCAGTATCATTTATATTATGGTATTTGTAGGCGATGCTGTGGTCACAAGCTGAACAGTGGTGCTGTGAGCTCGTGCTGCGTGTGCCAGCCTTGGTGGCTTGCTCGATACTGACACTGACGCTGTAACACCCAAGAATGTTGGCCTGGATTTTTTTTCTAGGTGGCATCTGGCAACTATTGGTCGTGGCTGTACTATAGCTGCCCCTATCCCAGGTGGGGCGTTTAAATTATAGCGCTAGACACGAAATCATATATAAATGATGTGCGCGGTTTCGGTTTTGTCACTGATATCATTTATATGAGATATGCGCGGTTTGAGGGTTAAATTAATTGATAAAGATACATGTGCTGTATACAATCGGTGAATGAAAATCATGGAAACACAGTCGTTCACTTGTGTGGACCCCTCTGGCTGGTGTTTGCTTAATATGGTTCACTAGTTGTGTGAATAAGTCTGCCTGGTTTTGTTAATATGGTTCACTTGTGTAGTCCACTTGAGTGATCCAACTTGTCATATGAAGGAATTATTAATACCTGTGATCGAATGGGAAAGTTATCCACAAGTCTGTGAACTCTGTCCCAACACTGTAAGCAAATCCGCACATCCCACGCTTCGGCGAACCATTGTTTGTCGAACCGGGTGAGTAAATCTGGCTTGAAAAATGTGAGACCTAGCCAGAGATTCGTTGAATCGGGGTTTTACTGTATTTATATATACAGTATATATAAATAAATGTTAAATATGACCGAAAAGCTAAGATTAATAATTCTAACATGAATTATCACAATATTTCTTATGTTTCTTTTTACTGTCGATGGTAATTGAAAAATCAGTTCTCCAAAATTCATTTTTATTGCTAGTCTAATGCGACCCTTGAACGCATTTCGTAATACCTTATTACATTTTCAAAGACTTTAGTTTACACACACAACTGTAACCTGTAAACACTAAACAGAGTCAGCTAATTCGTCATACGGATTAGCTGTACAGTACAGTACTGTACTGCAGAATACGGAGTAATCTGCGTACTGCGGATTAGCAGACAGTACTCGCATTTGGGTGAGGTGATATGTTGCAACAGTTTTGGATGGGGTGAACAAACTTGTGACAAATACAAGACAGAACACAAAACTATGGGTATTAATTGGATATGAGAGCATAAGAATGGAAGTAACTGCAGAGGGCCTATTGGCCCATACTTCCTCTTGATGCTTCTATATTGGTTCGGAGTCTTGAAGTGGGTAGAATATAGTTGTGTATTAATTGGCTGCTGATTGCTGGTGTTGACTTTTTGATGTGTAGTGCCTCACAGATGTTGAGCCGCCTGCTATCGTTGTATCTATCGATGATTTCCGTGTTGTTTGTTAAGACTTCTCTGGTGATGGTCTGGTTGTGAGAGGAGATTATATGTTCCTTTATGGGGCCCTGATATTTATGCATTGTTATTCACCTGGAAAGACATTGTTGTCTTGCCTATAAACTGAGTTCTTTGGGGCTTACAGTCCCCAAGCGGGCATTTGAAGGCATAGACGACTTTGGTTTCCTTCAAGGCATTCTGCTTTGTGTCTGGAGAGTTTTTCATGAGTAGGTTGGCCGTTTTTTTGGTTTCATAGTAAATCGTCAATTGTATTTTCTGATTTTTGTCTATAGGGATAACATTCCTATCAACAACATCTTTCAGGGCCCTTTCTTCCGTTTTATGAGCTGTCGAAAAGAAGTTCCTGTAAAATAGTCTAATAGGGAGTACATGTGTTGTGTTAGTTGACTCTTCAGAGGGTCGACTAACCTCTGAAGAGTCAACTAACAGAACACAACTGTTTCCCACACTTGTGGATTCCATGTGGTTGTTTATTTATGTCACAGTCTAAGGTGAGCCAATGAGAACATCTGAAATATTTGGTGATATAATATTGACCCTGGGATGCCAGTGCATGAGCTGTGGGGAGCTACTGATGCCCTTTCAGGAGAGTTTCATTATACTCGATGTTCTATTTATCCTCAATATGCCAATTATATAAACATTTTCTTAAACACTACCTGGATCTAAAGCTTTAATTTTTACTGACCACCCAAATCCTGAATATGAGAAAATATATATAGCATTATTTATGTTATGCTTTCTCAATATTGCAGCATAAACAGATAAAACCCAAATCTAAAAAGTTTTAAAATGAAAACCAGAGACTATTCTGCTCAATTTGAACAGAAAACTGCCTGTTAACATAAAACTTGAAAATTTAAAATCAATGCTAAGAGGCATTCTTAAGATATTATCTGTTAAAAATCAATAAATCCAATAAATAAAAAGGACAAAACCACAAGGCATCTCTAGAATCCCCTTCCCAGGGATACCTAATAATAGAGCAAAGAATGTTGAAGAAACCGATATGCAAAATGTAAGTGGGAGAGTAAAAACTGAAGTTAACTGTTAATTCAATTATCAACAATAATTCAATTATTAATAAGAAAAGGTGTCAAAAAAGGAGTGCAAAACCACTCGTTATAGATGTTATATTTACTGTACCTGGTTTCTATCATTCTTTTAGCTGCCTCAGCATATTTAGAGAGCTGCTTCCTGGCTTCACCTGTGAACTTCGGCCGCTGAAGTTTGATGGGGATGTCGTTCATGATTTCCCGATACATGGACTGGCTCACCTCAGGAAAACATTGGCTGGGAAGAAGTGGATCCCAACCGTGGTCCACGACTTTCCGTTCCATTAACCATCGACTAAACGAATCTCTGGGTGCATCAATTCCTGTGGCCATGATATTATATATATATATATTAGAAGAAGCTTTTTAGCTCTCTGTCCCATGTTTTACTATGTATTAATATTGTACAATATATATATAGTATATAAAGCAGAAATGAGCCTTGAGCCATGAGTCTCAAAATTTGTCAGTCTGTCAGTCATAGGCAACAGCTCTTGAGAAAAACGGAAGAAAAATAGTGCAAGCAGATATTGTTTAGATAAAGAAAAAGCCAGCAATGAATGTAATGAAATGCCAGTTTCTGGATGAGCACTGGTGGCTCCCTGAAGCTGCTATACTGATATAGTGCCAGACTAGAAGGTGCCATGAGTTGCGGAGTTCTTATTGACCTACCAAGGACAACGAGCCAGAACCTGGCCCCCTTAGAGAGGCACAGCAAGCAGTGGCTCTATGAAAAATTTTATGTAAATTTATTCATGTCAGCCACCATCAAAAGAAGGCACCTAGAAAGTTAGTGAAATAAAACAAACCACTGTTTAGTTAGAAATGAGACTGCAGCCTCAAAACAGCCAAAGAACTCCCCCCCAACAATGCAAACTTCTTGAAACTAGCACAAGCTAGTTCGCCCCACCTCCCATTTCCCTCGTTTTGGGGAAAAGAGGAAAGCAGACCGTGTAAGCCACCTGCTCCACAACCAGTTATGATGATGATGGAGACCACCATGAGGCCCTAGGGGAGGGAGGGTGTTAGGGAGCCACTGGGGCACACTGGTTTTCTAGGGGAAGCCCCTTGTGGCTCCTGAAGCATATATCCAGGGAGAAGAAAGAAAGAAAGGGCACTTCCCATGGAAGAGAAAGAACCACAGGTATCAAGACAAAAAAAAAAGAGAGAGACCAATGGCCACAACATATGAAGAAGCAGAAGTACTGTGCTTGCCACTCTCCATGGTGTACAACAAATCACTGGTAATAAGGAAACAACCAAAAATTTAGAAGACGGCTAATATACAGCTAATAATAAGACGGCTAATGTTCCCCATATACAAGAAGGGTAACAGACAGAAGGCACTGAACTACAGGCCAGTGTCACTAATTTGCATACCATGCAAGGTGATAGATAAGATTGTGGGGGAAAAAAGCTAGTGGCACATCTGGAGCAAAAGAACTTTGTAACACAGCATCAGCATGGGATCAGGGATGGCAAATCTTGCCTCACAGGTTTAATTGAATTCTATGACCAAGCAACAAAATTCAGGCAAGAAAGAAAAGGGTGGGCAGACTGCATATTTTTGGATTGCCAGAAAGTCTTTTGACACAATACCCCATAGGAGACTAGTGAACAAGCTGGAAATGCAGGCAGGAGTGAAAGGGAAGGTACTCCATTAGATAAGGGAGTACCTAAGCAACAGAAGATAGATAATCACTGTGAGGGTGAGGTCTCAGAGTGGCAAGGCATCACCAGTGGAATCCCACAGGGTTCAATCCTTAGACCTATCCTGTTTCTGATAAATGTAAATGATCTTCCAGAGGCAATAGACTCGTTCCTCTCAAAGTTAGTTGATGACGCAAAAATTATGAGGAGGATTAAGACAGAGGAAGATAGCATGAGGCTACAAAATGACCTAGACAAACTGAAGGAATGATCCAACAAATGGCTACTAAAGTTCAACCTAAGTAAATTTAAGGTAATGAAACTAGGCAGAAGGAACAGGAGGCCAAATGCAAGATACCAAATGGGAGATGAAGTCCTTCATGAAATGGACAGAAAGATCTAGGAGTTAATATCATGCAAATAATGTCTGCTAAAGCCCACAACAATAGAATATCATCAGCAGCATATGCAAGGCTGGCTAACATCAAAACTGCCTTCAAAACCCAGCATTGAATGTAGTGAAACGCCATTTTCTGGGAGAGACCTGGAGGCTCCCCGGAGTTATCCAGGCTGATATGTATACTATTAGACTTTGGCATTAGTCAGTACGCATGGAGTTCTAGGCCTGCCGGGGGACCACGAGCCAGAACCCGGCCCCCTCAGAGAGGCACGAGGAGTAATGGCCAATAGAAATGCACATGTGTTTCTATTGTGTAGTTACAGGATTAGAGCTACGCTCGTGGTGTCCCGTCTTCCCAGCACTCTTTGTCATATAATGCTTTGAAATTACTGACAGTTTTGGCCTCCACCACCTTCTCACTTAACTTGTTCCAACCGTCTACCACTCTGTTTACAAAAGTGAATTTTCGTATATTTCTCCGGCAGCTTTGTTTCGTTAGTTTAAATCTATGTTCTTGAAATTCCGGGTCTCAGGAATTCTTCCCTATCAATTTTATCGATTCCTGTTACTATTTTGAACGTAGTGATCATATCGCCTCTTTTTCTTCTATCTTCTAGTTCTTGCATATTTAATGCCTCTAACCTCTCCTCGTAGCGCTTGTCCTTCAGTTCTGGGAGCCACTTAGTAGCATGTCGTTGCACCTTTTCAAGTTTGTTGATGTGCTTCTTAAGATATGGGCACCATACAACCGCTGCATATTCCAGCTTTGGTCTAATAAAAGGCGTGAACAATTTCAGAAGAAAAACAGAAATGGGCAAGGAAAAGACCAGAATACGGAACAAGTAGCAGCCTGTAACGCAATGTACACTATCAACTACAACGTGTGGTGTGGGTGGTCGCACATACACAGAGGGACACCATGGATATCAGGGTGCACCCAGGCACCGAAGAGAGGCAAGGAAGGAGTGTCCAGAGACCAAGTCAAGGAAGGACACGGATCGAGGGAACGAAGAAGTGTCCAAAGATCGAGAAAAGACCCCGGCGCAGAAAAACTAAATAAAAAAGCACCAAAATGTAGGGCAGTGCCCCCCCAGTACAACAAGAACAAGACACTGTACATGGACAAAGTAGTCACTGTAAGACACACACAAAGTGTCCAAGCAAAACACACAACACCTAACACCCCTGTTAGGAGCCAATGACACTACCTTGTCAAGTGGGGAAGTGACAGGGTAGACAAGGATGGATCATTTAACACAGGTGGTACACTCACAAGGGGACACAGGCAGAAGCTGAGTACCCAAATGAGCCACAGACACAGAAAGAGCTGTTTCAGTGTCAGTAAGTGGAATGCACTAGGAAGTGATGCGGGAGGCAGAATCCATACACATTCACAAATGTAGAGAAGATAGAACCCAGTAGGCTCAGGAAGCTGTAGACCTGATGATTGACAGTGGAGAGACAGGACCAAAGAGCCAGAGCTCAACCCCCGCAAACACAATTAGGCGAGTACCCCACCAAACAGCGAGAACTAGCACCCTGGGGCCAGAAGGGGAAGGGAAAACCCTACTCTGAGGAACTGCAAGCCCCGCTCCGATGGTACAAAACCCCAAGCGGGGCAAAACGGGGCCTAGGCACCCCCCCCAGGCAACCCCCTCCCCTACCCTGGGAACCCCTACGGCAGGACCCAGGGCCGAGTCGTTCCCCCCCCCAAAAGCCCCAGCCCCACATGTAAAAGCCAGAGCAGCCATACAAAACACCAAGGAAGGGAGTCCACTGGTCAGACCCATACAGCAAGGCTGGAGGAACAGACTCGAATGCCTCAGCCGCCACCCCGGAAGAGGAAACCCCCGAGACCGCCCGAGTCTCAACCCAACCAGACCCTGCCCCAACCCCGAAATCCGCCTACGGTTTCGAAGTTGGAAGCAAGGGAAAGGATGTATGCACAACAGAAGGGGAAGGACGAGGAGGAGCAGACGGAACTGGAGCCGAACCGACTCCCATCCCCAAGTCCGGACCCCTTAACCAAGACGGAGCACTCTCGGGGCATCCTGGGCCGCAACCAATCTAGAATGTTGCAGCAACCTAAACCTAGCATGCAATGCCACAGCTGCCTGCACCCGCACATCATTATCAGTGGCTTGGGTGAACAGGAGCCCGTACAGACAATACACGTCGCACAACTCCAGGTCAAAACAATCATCAACCAAACAGACATCATGGCGGAGGCAAAACAGGCTTGTGTCACCCCTGAGACAAGGGGACAGAGCAACCTTCAAACTCGCAAGACGTGAGAGTGGGCAGAAGGAGGAGGAAGGAACGATATCATTGACTCAGGGGTCACATCCATTGGACCACGTAGCCCCCCCATGGGGTTTCCCAGGGCCCTTAGCCATGGTTACATGCTAAGGGAAGCCCAGGCAGAATACTGCAAACCGACGCCCAAGTCTACCTAACAAACTGCTAAAGCTGAACCCTCCGGATGTGTCCACTCATGGGGGCCAAGCGGGGAGGACCACCAAGACAGAAATATAGATATACAAATATATATACCCCAAGAACAGCGATGGGGGACCACAAAGACAGACCCCCCCCTCCACCAGGCAGAAAACAAGAACAAAAGAAAAAAAACACAAGAGGACAACGTACCCAGGGGAACAGAGCCGGCTGTGTCATAGGTGAAAACTAGTTGTGCAGCACCCCATGCCCCTGCCAGTGACAAAAACTACCCATTACCCAGAGACAAACAAGGGTAAGAAAAACCCCAGCTGACCCCAAGGGCGCCCAAGTACTGAGCAGTAAACGACGCAGCGGAGGTAGATCCTGAGGTGAATTGTGGAAGAAGGCCCCAAGCCCCATGGGCAGTACTTACAGGGCACCTAGGGAAGGGAACCCTAGGCACATGCAGCCCGAGTACCGTGGAATACATCTCTCGGCTCCCGCACCACTTGTAGAGATAGCCCACACCACAAGGCACAGAACTGAAACAAAAACCGGAGCCAGAGGCATGAATGCACCAGACTTCCATCAGCCAAGAACTGAAAGTTGGGTTGCCGGCGGGTAGGTCCAGGGCTCCCCCTTCACCCTCCTGGGAAGGGGGGGATTGCACAGATGGCGGCGCGGCGACATGACGACGTCATGCTAGTTTGTTAATTTTCATTTGGGGAGTTGTGTCCACTTGTTAGACCTTCGGTCGCAATAGTTTTACCAAAATAAATAGGGGTTTGTTTTGGGGCGCCTACCTTTCTGGGTGCCTGTCCCGGTCGATGGCAGACATAGCAAGAACTCCATGCAGTGACTGATGCCAGAAAGATATACATATCCATTCAGCCTGGATAGCTCCGGAGAACCAACGGGGCTCCCCCGAGAAAAGGAATATACAAGCATAATAAATCTAAACGGCATGTCTATTATGGCTATCTAATTCAATTGAAACAAAAATGCTAACTACATGTAAATGGCATGACTCTCTCCTCACCTTCTCTTGCCTGGCACATTTCCTGGTATCCGAGGCGGAGTTTACCCACCAGCTGGCCCCGTAACACCTCTACACTAGGGTGTGGCTGGGGTAATGTGATGGGCGGGCGCTCAAACATGATCACATTTGTTGGTATCTCTAAGTCCCATGGACCCCTGTAAACAATTCACACCAACCAATTAAGCTTTAAGTGAGGTTAGCACATCTGTTACATACCTTATTTTCATATGGCTATATATATTAAAAACCTTTAATAGATCAATTGGACAAATACAAATTATGTATTGACACTGACAGACAAGGTTATACAGACTATTAGTGCAGTTAGCTTTGTTTTCAACTCACAAATGAGGATCCCAGGTTTAATTCCTTGATGGGGCAGAAATGGTTAGGCATGTTCCCTTACATCTAATCCCTCTATTAACAAAGCAGAAAATAGGTACCTGGGAGTTCGGCAACTGTGCAGGGAGTCGCATCCTAGGGTGAGTCAGAAGTTCAATCTTACCTGCTTGATACCTGCTTGATGGGGTTCTGGGAGTTCTTCTACTCCCCAAGCCCGGCCTGAGGCCAGGCTCGACTCGTGAGAGTTTGGTCCACCAGGCTGTTGCTTGGAGCGGCCCGCAGGCCCACAGCCCGGCTGATACCAATCTTGGGAAACCTCAATACACTCCTAATGTGCATGTATATACAGTATACGTATATGTGAGCCCGATGACTCTTCCATTGAGCCCGACAACTCTGGCTGGATGTACCTTGCCTTACCTTGCGCCGGTTTCGAGGCTCAACGTTCTTGCGACTCGGTCCTCGATCAGGCCTCCTCGTTGCTGGACTGGTCAGCTGTTGAATGTAACTGTTGGATGCAACTGCTCGCAACCTGACGCATGAATCACAGCCTGGTTGATCAGGTATTCTTTGGAGGGGTTTATCAAATTCTCTCTTGAATACTGTGAGGGGTCGGCCAGTTATGCCCCTAATGTGTAGTGGAAGCGTGTTGAACTGCCTTGGGCCTCTGATGCTGACAGAGTTCTCTCTCAGAGTACCTATTGCACCTTTTCAATGGGGAGTATTTAGCACATACTGTACTGCCATACCTTCTGGTCTCATTTGGTGTTATTTCTGTGTGCAGGTTTGGGATCAGCCCCTCTAATATTGTTCACATGTAAATTATGTACGTATCTCTCCCAGCTTACCTCATGAGAATGCAGATTTAGGCATTTTGTTCGGTCCCAATAGTTTAGATGTTTTACTGAGTGGATTCTATCAGTAAAGAGGAGACAATTGTGTAAGGGACAACTTGTCTAGAACCTTTTAAAGTTTCTGAGCAAGCATTTAGGTGGACTTCTCTGTTCTCTGCAGGAGTTTTTCCAAAATTGCAATCATCTTCAGAAGGAAGATGATATCCTTTTCACAAACCCAGTGCACAGAGTGATTTCTCAATTCGATTTGCCTTGTATTATTGGTCATGTTGGTACATTTTCTGTGTATAGCTGCAGAGCACAGTTGGCATTGAAGACTCTGTTGATAACTTACCTTCTTACGACATTCTGTGCAAATCTTTGATGTCGACATTTTTATTATTTTGCAGTGCTTGGTGGTGTTTGTGAAGGCAGTGGAATCACCAGTGTTGGTGCTAACTTTTGTAATGGGCTTAGTGTTGTGGTCTAAACTTTTAGGCTGGTTTTACCCACAGTAGAACCCTGGATGGTGGGTTGTGACCTCACGCAGTTACCGACTCATGTCACTACCTGCCTGCCTATACTCTCTAAGGGCAGTCACTTGCACCATATATGCATCTGCACTATTTCCTTTGAAAAACACTATTTATTAGTATTTTTGAGTAATTTTGGTTACTGTCTGATTGCCAGACATTCACACATTATTATGCACTTTTCCACTGCATAACAGGTGCAGTAAGTCTCTCCTAACTGTGGGAGTTTCACAATTTTATGCTGTACCCTAATTCATCACCTAAAGAGATGTGCAGTTTGAGCATAATTTGCCACTCCATCTCCTGATGGGATGCGCAGCCAACGGATTAAAAGCGATTCTAAAGATAGAATGCCTAGGATATGTACTTGGTGCTCTGGCAAGGGCACAAGCTTCTTTCTACTTATTCTTACTTAACCATTAAATCGTGCATGGCTATATACCATTTGACACCCACAGGCTCATACATACAAAAAAAAAAATCTTTTTCTTCTAAACCTGTTAATTTGTGTTCACCGATCATGGGAAAAATAATAAAAAAAATCGTAAGTGGCATATATTGCCCGCTATAGGGCGGGGAAGTCTGGCAAAAAACAGGCGCTGACTCAGTGTGCGTCCCAGGCGGTCTGATGCTTGCCAGCTGTCAGGCCGGAGTTGCCACAAAGAGATAATTACCTAATTATTCCAATGCTCTGATTGATTTTTCGTAATTTTTTTGCTGTAATATTATTCAATAGTGTGTAGTGTGATATATATTTTATAATAAAATGAGTGAATCATCGCTGTACTCAAAAATATGGTGTGCATATTGTTGATTCAATTATGTTCATCAAACAGTGAACAAATATTTTGTTGGTTATTGCACTATATACACAGGTTATACATAAGTATCTGCATGTTTTGTTCACCATAACGAACCACTAAGTTGCTATTATGAGACAAAAAGTAACGAGGAGTGACCGCCACACACAAGCTAGCCACTCACTCCCTCCCTCAACACCTCACTCAACCACATTCTCCTCCCACCATGCTGTTTTTGCTTTTATTCACTATATACAGACGTTATATATAAGTATCTACATTCGTGTTCACCATAACGAACCACTAAGTTGGCATGCTGAGTGGCAGTGCCAGTGACAGCCCGCCACTGGCTGCTACTTCCTCCCTCCCTCAAGTCACCTGACTCACCCACATTCTCCTCCCACAATATTGTTTTTGCTTTTATTCACTATATACAGACGCTATATATAAGTATCTACATTCGTGTTCACCATAACAAACCACTAAGTTGGTATGCCGAGTGGCAGCCCGCCACTGGCTGCCACTCCCTCCCTCACCTCACCTGACTTGCCACCATTCTCCTCCCACCATACTGTTTTTGCTTTTATATACAGACGTTATATATAAGTATTTACATGTTTTGTTCACCATAACTGTACATCTAAGCTTGTATGGTGAGTAAAGGCACAAAGATGTAGCTACTCACACAGTCAGCTGATGGCTACCGACCTCAAGGCCAGACACACTAATATTTCTCCTCCAACAATACTGTTTGTGGTGTTATTACGCTATATACACACATTATATATTAATATCTACCTGCTTTATTCACCATACTTGTACAAGTAAACTGGTATGGTGCCCAAAGACCATCATGGTCACCAGTAAACAACATGATAAGTCGTGCAGATGACACCACCGCCCTCACCAAAATGGCAGCTCCCAACCTACTCCTCTTGCTGTTTATACTCTCTATACACACGTTATATATAAGTATCTACATTTATGTTCACCATAGCGAACCACTAAGCTGGTATGGTGAGTGCAGTCAATAAAAGGTGGCCACACACATTCAGAAGACAACACCACTACCCTCCCCTCCCACAGCATTACTCCTCCCTTCATGGGCACAGCGCTAAATATCACCACAATCCTGCTATTATCAGAACCCAGGTCAATTTTATCACAGTCAGGGGTCTTCTGTAATAATATCATCGCTACATAATAGCATGAACAAGTATATTATGGCATTTTTAGGCGATGCTGTGGTCACAAACTGAACAGCAGTGCTGTGAGCTCATGTTGCATGCATCAGGCTTGGCAGCTCACTCAATACTGAGGCCCCAAATACCCAGGAATTTGGCCCACGATTTTTGTTTAAAATAGCGTCTGTTTACAAGAGCCCTGATGAAGGTGTGGTGAACCCTGTGTATCCGCGGGCCCTTTAAATCTTGCGTAGTACTCCAAAGCATCATATGATGCGATGCACAATTTAAGGGTTAATAAATGAGGGTAAGGTGAATATAATGATCGCTAGGGATAGTAAGTCTCCTCCGAGGATAGTAACACTCAGTCTTATACCTTGTAGTTCCAGGGCATACCTTATACCTGGTAGTTTCAGGACATACCTTATACCTGGTACCTTACCTTGAGGTTACCTGCAGGTGCTTCCGGGGCTTAGCGTCCCTGCGGCCCGGTCATCAACCAGGCCTCCTGGTTGCTGGACTGGTCAACAAGGCTGTTAGACGCGGCTGCTCGCAGCCTGACATACAAGTCACAGCCAGGTTGATCAGGTATCCTTTGGAGGTGTTTGTCGAGTATCTCCCTTGACCACAGGGTTCGGTCAGTTATGCCCCTTATGTGAAGTGGAAGCGTGTTGAACAGTCTCGGGCCTCTGATGTTGATAAGAGTTCTCTCTCAGAGTACCTGTTGCAACTCTGCTTTTCAATGGGGGTATTCTGCACATCCTGCCATGCCTTCTGGTCTCATGTGATGTTATTTCTGTGTGCAGGTTTAGGACCATCCCCTCTACTAATTTCCATGTGTAAATTATTATGTATCTCTCAAGCCTGCACTCAAGAGAATACAGATTTAGGCTCTTTAGTCGGTCCCAATAGTTTAAATGCTTTACTGAGTGGATTCTAGTAGTAAAGGATCTCTGCATGCTCTCCAGGTCAGCAATTTCTGAAAATTATTATCGGTATAGCATCTCTAGTGTGAAAGGTTCTTGTTATCCAACCTGTCATTTTTCTTGCAGTTGTGACGGCTACTTTATTATGTTCTTTGAAGGTAAGGTCTTCCGACAGGAGTACACCCAAATCCTTTACATTGCCTTTTTGTTCTATATTATGATTCAACTGCATTTTGTACGTGGTTTCTGTTTTTATATTTTAATATTTTCCGTAGCACATGAGCTGGAACTTAACTTCGTTAAACACCATATTATTTTCTGTAGCCTAAAGAAAGATCTGATTTACGTCTGATTGGAGGTTTGCCATGTCCTCTATGTTGTCTACTCTCATAAAAATCCTAGGGTCATCTGCAAAGGATGACACAGTTCTATAGGTTGTGTCCTTGTCTATGTCCGATATGAGGATGAGAAAAAGTACTGGAGTAAGCACAGTACCCTGGGGGACTGAGCTCTTCACTGTTGATGGACCGGATTTGA